TCTATCAAGTTCATGCACATCACTATCGTTTCGACTTTAGCTAGTCTTTATCATAGGTTTTCACCCATCATTGAATCCATGATCATTTGTCTCTTTTATCAAGGCCACTAAGAAATACATAATAGCATCCCTGGCATAAACTGTAGACAGATGCAGCCGTTATGATTGTTAGAATACTGCCTTTCATTATGCTTCAATGTGGCACCATTCCTCCACGCACCAGCAGCATATCACTGAGGGTTACTGCCTGTCTTCCAGTCCATTTTCTCAACTCCATGGACTCACTATATTATCTGAGTCAGGGCCAAATTGTATGCAAGTGGTATCTAAATTCTGCGCTCAGTAGGTGTACAAAATAACCTTCAGTCGTTCACTTTAACTTACTCTCATTTTATTGCGTTTTCTTTCATCTGTTTCTCCCACATATCCTACTGCACTTTTTCCTCTGCACTCTCTTTCCTTTTTGCTATGTTTATGTCTTTCCCCTTTGACTTTGTCCATGCTAATCCAAATGGGTTGTTAATTATAGACTGCAGGTCTAATGGCATGAACTAATTATAGAAGTCCAATGAGAATTCACTGGTCACCTCCACCTTCTGCTTCTATACAATACGTCACCCTCTCTGGTTTCATCCCTGTATCTATTTCCAATGGTATATGTTCCAACGTATATATCAACATCCATATAGGGATGTTAACCTTTGCAGACCATTTGCATGCATGAAAACCTATAAAACACACTAATGAGGAGGAATGAGAGAACCCCAAAAGGCACAATAGGGCATCTTTAAAATTAGAAGATAAACACAAAGCCATTTTGAACTTGTGATAACTCTGTGACTCCAAGAGGGAGATTGTATTTGTTTGAATTAGGGCAAAAACATTACATTTGATCTTTCAGAACGTTGGTCAGGGTTTGTGGAGCACATTTGTTAAATATCACTCTTGACATTCACTTTTTTTGTTCATCTAATTAGTTATGAAACACAGCCACAAAGGTTTGAGGGAACGACAATGAGTGACAAATTATGCCTCTCCTTACCAAATCATGTTGCAAGATTTCCTAAAGTTTCAAACAGGCACTGACCTTTAAATAGCATATGGTGTTGTATCTGTGTCCTATGACGGTAGAGTCTGAGTGAATCAGTGCAAAAATAGCCTTGTTTAACCAAACAGCAGGGCTGTTATTTCAGACTGCATTTTATACACAGCAATAAATCATCCATGAAGAATGGATTGTCAAGACTTTAAGTAAACTGACAAATGGAAGCACAAACAGAGAAACTCTCAAAGAGACAGGCAAACAGACAAATGCATGTCAGAGCTTGGAAACACACATTAATGGGTTTACATTCAACTGTTATTCTGTATTACCAACAATATGGTGACTGCTAACAAGTGGATCATTGGGTGAATTAGGGCTCATGAATGCTAGATAAGACATTCAACACTAGTGTGCATTCACAAACTGCCTGTTGCAGTTGGTCCTGCTAGATTTGTACTGTTTCTTAAATTGTAGATTTTCTTATTTGATCTGTTAAAAAAGCTTGTTATTAACGTATTAAGAGGCGCCCTCTCTAAACTGTCTTGTACAGTAGAGAGAGATTAAGTTGTTTTTTTGGGCCTTTGATTTGCTGCAACCCCGTGGCTGCCTCATTTACACTATGACATTTGATCATGCTAAAACTGGCTAGCATGGTGGTTGATACAACAGCTATTCCAACTGAACTCTGAAGAAGGAAACAGAGGATTCTGGGTAAACCGACGAGACGGAGGATGAGGGCTGGGATTAATGGAGAAAAGAAGATATAATCCATGTCTCCCCCCTATCATCATTAGCAACGTAAAATAACTGTGTAATAACGGTAAAGCTAACGATAATAGCTAGGAGTCAGATGAAGTGTAGTTTGATATGCTTTATGAACACACTACTGCACCAGGATACAATATATCTGTCAACAATGTCTCAATTGATGGCTTCCGAGCAGTGTTGGTCGTCAAGGATTGCACCGAGAGCTTCATGATGTCTTCACCACGAGCCTGAGTCTTCATCATGTCTTCACCGTGAGCCTGAGTCTTCATCATGTCTTCACCATGAGCCTGAGTCTTCATCATGTCTTCACCATGAGCCTGAGTCTTCATCATGTCTTCATCATGAGCCTGAGTCTTCATCATGTCTTCGCCATGAGCCTGAGTCTTCATCATGTCTTCATCATGAGCCTGAGTCTTCATCATGTCTTCATCATGAGCCTGAGTCTTCATCATGTCTTCACCATGAGCCTGAGTCTTCATCATGTCTTCACCATGAGCCTGAGTCTTCATCATGTCTTCACCATGAGCCTGAGTCTTCATCATGTCTTCACCATGAGCCTGAGTCTTCATCATGTCTTCACCGTGAGCCCATGTCTTCATCATGAGCCTGAGTCTTCATCATGTCTTCATCATGAGCCTGAGTCTTCACCATGTCTTCATCATGAGCCCTCAACATCCTCATCCTCCTTGACCTGAGTGCAGCCTTCGATACCGTGAGCCACACCATCCTGCTTACCCGACTCCGGGATATCG